ATCATTATGTGACCGAGAAGTTGCGCAAGTCTTTTTATGGGCCAGAGATATGACATGATGTTATCCGGTATATGTGTAGCTACATTTGGTGCCAAATTTGTAATACTCCCCCTCATGCTACGGAAGGATGGTTGAAATTAATTGTAATGTCTCATCTATTTGAGTTAGTGGCATTTGATCTTATAAAACCTTTTCCACAATCAACTACTAGCAATGAGTATTTTATTATTGCTTTTGATTACTTAACTTGTGTAAGCGACTAAATTTTCCATTCTACTTTAGTCACTTAACCACACCTCCGACTACTTGGAGGAGTCTCATTCACAACCTCCATAAGTCCAATTCAGGACTTGGGACTTGCTAGCCCTGAGAATGGCATCCATGCCACTCAACATTTGCACTTGGTCCAAGTGCTCCACATGTCTGATCCCATGACCGACACTCAAAGGTACCACCGACATGGCAGCTTGTTACGCTAAGGCCATGCCGAATCACCTTTGCCACACTAGTAGTCCAATACCCCTTGCATCACAATCTTGGCTCTCCAAGACTAGGCAAACCATCCGTGAGTGGTCATCTCAGATCCACTCCTTAGCATCCTTAGGATGCCCACCGACAAGGGGAATAGCCTTCCCCAATATCCCTCTGTCAGTCCCCACTAAGTCCCTTTCTGCCCCTAGCCGTGTTTGCCAACACTGCCACTAGATCGAGGCCCACAGGCCCGACCACTAAGTCCCACGGTCCTCTGGGACTTCCTCACCACACGACTGTGTCCTTGGTCACTACCCCAGAGGACTGCTCCTCTTCCTTTCCACAGTCTGGGCCTTTAGGACAACATTTCGGAACACCGTGGCCTTACGCGAGCCACCTGGGTACTCTCCCCGCCTTCCGCCCTTAGGTGCTCTAGCCATGGGCTTAGAGCGAGGTTCCGTTGAGCCACGCTTGGTATCCAAGTAGGTAGTGCCACCCACACTTGGACTGGGAGCATCGGCCAGTCGATCTCCCGAGGGAACTAGAGCCGGCTCTTGAACACTTCACCAAGCTACCCCGCTTGTCGGTCCGTATTCACTCTAGTCTTGGACTTCCCAGTGGTCAGTTCATCACCCAACACTGGGTCTGGCCTTCCTGGGCCAAACTGGCCTTTCCTGGCCAAACTGGCTCCACTGCAGTCCTCCCCCTACTATACTTTTGAAGCTCACTAAACCCCCCAGGGTCTGGGAGACGAACGCTTTGGGCTTTCACCCTCTCAAGCTCGAACTCGGACTGGGCCTCGGACTCGGACTCGGATTCGGACTCGGATTCGGACTCGGCCTCGGCCTTGGTCTCGGTCTCGGTCCCGATCTCGGTCTCGGTCTCGGTCCCGGTCTCGGTCTTGGTCCCGGTCTCGACTTCAGACTCCATCTCGGGTCCATCTCGGACTCCATCTCGGACTCCATCTCGGGTCCATCTCGGGTCCATCTCGGGTCCATCTCGGACTCCATCTCGGACTCCACCTCGGACTCCATCTCGGGTCCTTCTCGGACTCCATCTCGGGTCCATCTCGGACTCCATATCGGACTCCACTTCGGACTCCACTTCGGATCCATCTCAGACTCCATATCGGACTCCACTTCGGGTCCATTTCGGACTCCATATCGGACTCCACTTTGGACTCCACTTCGGATCCATCTCGGACTCCATATCGGACTCCATCTCGGACTCCACTTCGGACCCCATATCGGACTACTTTGGGTCCATCTCAGACACTTCCACGTGTTATGTGTTGGTCCTTTTTGGGTCCCTTTTTGGAGCCTTGCTTATTGGTTGCCTCGTGCTTGCTCCTCGAGCACTTTGTTGGGAGTTCCACTCCCGCTCTCGACCTTCCAAGTCGGAGCTTTTTAGCCCGAATGCGTTATGCTCGTTTGGCTTTCGCTTCGGCCACTATCACATGGCACCCTTCCGGCTCCACTTTGGGGCCTAGGGATTTTGTGTCTCACAACTTGCTAGGTGGAAGTTAGTGCTTTTGTAAGCACCTCCACAACTACTGTTAGATAATTTCTCCTCAATCGAGTGGTGTTCCAGCAATCTTGTTTAGAGCGGATTACCTAGGCCACATACAAGTAAAATAACAATAGTGCTACAACTTCTATCATTTTCCACTTACAAAGTACATAATAGATGGCTTGGTATTAGTTTGTTTTCCCCATTTTACAATATGTGGTTTATATAAAGCTCCAAAAATTATACATGTGCAACAATTGAAATACTTTGTACAAAAAGATCAGGAATAGTTGGCACCACCTACACATCCACTAATGCTTCCTCTTGATATTCCTCTAAATCCTAGCCCATCTATGAGAGAACCTTGATGGTCTTCCATTATTCCGAGAAGAGGGGATAATATAAGGTCCAAGTGTATGGTTACGCTACCATATATTAATATTAGTGTAGTGGGATTTAGGTAGCTGTTGGATTAGTTTCAATCCAAACCACTCACTCTTATATATAAACTAGGTTTTTTAGGCTAATTGATATGCACATTTTCTATATTGCCTTTTTATATTCCATGCACTTACAGCTCTAATTACAAAACAATTCTAAATCATCATGATGTATAATAAAATTTTAAAAAGTGATCCAAGATTTTATTATAATATTTTATCCTAATTATCCTAAATAATTCACCCACTTTAACTAATACACAAGAAATAATGTTTTGAAATAAAATAAAAAATATTTATATATCAAATTGAAAAATATTATAAAATCTAAAAAGTGTATAATAGCATATTCGGAAATCTAGATGAGTGGATGTCATAACTTAAACCATCTAAATGTTTAAATATTTTATAAATTTTTAAAAAGTAACAGTATATTAATTATATTTTTTGATAAAATTAAAATAAATAAAACATTATAAATGTATATACTAATATAGTTAAAAGGGATGTTTATAAACATATATATTTGAAACACTTCTTATTCAATAAATTTATTAATGTATTAATAAAAGATCATTTAAAGTATTTATTAAAGTAAACCATATTATCTATTTAAGTCTTCTATAGCTCTCATAAAATTAATATTTTTAGGTTTTCACATGCTATATCTCATTAACTTTATTTATAATAGAATATTAGTTAAGATAAAAACATAAACACATGTCTGATTTTATCATAAAGAAATAAATTAATATCAGGGATAGAGGCAATTTGCAACTAGTAAAAAAATAGAAATTTTTCTTCTTGGTCAAAAAACTTTAATTAGTGTCAATATAGACAATTATATTATTATTTTCCATTACCTTACAAACTTGTATATTTTCTTCTTTTTCATAAAATTTTTTGTAACACTAAACATATTTTTATAACATTAAATTGCCCATCTTATGTAAATAAAATTTATTTATATTTTCTAATAATAATATTTAAGTAAAATATTTGATCAATTTTATAAATGTGTTGATTATAAATATTACTTATGACTCTTCTTTTGTAAACTATTAAATTATAATACACTAAACAACTACATATCACTCTCTTCTGTAAAAGTTATGGGAATAATCATAATGATTTTAAACACTGATCTTGTAACAGTTCTCTGACATTTACCAATTATGTTAATAACTAACTCTAGGTAATTTATTTTTGATTTCCAAAGTCCACATAGTACCAGATCAAGTTAATCACTAAAACTTTGTCATTCACATGTTAACTAAAGTTGAAAAAATATAGAATCACTTCAATATACATAAGGTTATTGACTAAAGTTATTAACTAAATCAAAGTATTTTTCAATAACAAATAACAAAATTTATTAATAAATTTAAATAAAATAAAAAAGGATTTAGTGTATATTTTTTATAAATTTAATTATTTTTATTTACAAATGATAATATATTTTATTAATTTTATTTTATTATTTAATATCAAATTTAACTTTTGATGATTCTTCTATGTAAAATAATTGATTAAAGTGGCATTAATTTATAACATTTATGTTATGACTAATTTTTTCAGTCGTTACTTTTTATTTTTTAATTATATCTGTAAATGTAGTTTATATTTATCTCACAATTTTTAATTGTAATAAAAGTTATTTTAAATATTAGTTATTATGTAGGTAACTTAATATATTTTGATTTTTAAATTATTTATTTATTTTTAAAAATATTCTTTATTACAGATATATTGAGAAAATTTTACTTTCAAATATTTTTTTTATCTATTAGTAATATAAAATTTTGTTGTACTTATTTAAAATTTTGTTCAGAAATTTGATTACATTTGAATGTAGTCAGAATCCTTTGAAATGAGCTAAAGGGCAGAAAAGAAAACAATAGGGCATAAACAGCTCTCATGGAAATCCATATCCCACCCTTAGACCAAATGGATTTATGAACTAGTTACAAAGTCTTTCTTTTTTTCTCACCTTAATAAGATCTCATTGCAAGAAGAATTCATGCCCGTGTGCACCACACACACCACCACTGCTGCCAGCCATCCCAGTCAACTCTCCATATGGCACCACTGTCCGCCGCACAGCACCAGCAGTGGGAACTGGCGAGCTTGATCGCACCTCGACCACTTTACACACATGAAAAGTGGAAAACAACAAGTTGGACATCCAAATGTGGTTGTATGTATCATCAGGATGTCTACAGAAAGTTAAAAGCATCACTTCTGAATGGTTTTGGGTCAACTGTCAAATCATAATTTTTTCAACTACAAATAATCCAAACTTTAATTCACATGGAAAAGTTTTGTGGAAAATCCCTTTTATAATATAGTTTCATCTAATATTAATTTGTTTTCAGTGAAGATGTGAATACTGAGAAACACAGCTCTAGCTGCTAAAGCTACAGGAAGAGGGAGGCAGTGTAGCATGTACATTCCAGAGTCCACGATGTCAAGGTTGAGTTCACTAGCTCGGACGGATCTCCAACACACTGCATCTTAACCGATAGCTCCAAACTTGGTCAGTGTTTACCATTTCTTTCTCTCGACCAAGCTCGTTTCTCTTCAGTTCTTTGAATGTAGGATCATATCCATCACCAGCAAGTGAGAGGCAGGATCATCATAATCCACCTCGTGAAGTCCCCTCGCAGCTCGTATCCCTTGCGTGACTCTAGAGTGCAATCTACACGCTCCAAGAAACGCCCCCCAGGAAGCTCCGTCCGCCAGCCAAGGCATCACTTGGATCAAAGCCTCGGCCCGCTCCGTGTGCCCGGACTTCCCGAGAATGTCAATCAAACAGCAGTAGTGCTCCTGCCGAGGAGTGATCCCGTAATCGCTTTCCATGGACCGGAAGAAGCAGCACCCTTGTTCGAGCATTCCTTCGTGGCTACAAGCTCCTAGAACGCTCAACAAGCTCGTAGTATCCGGCTCCAAGCCCTCTTGCTCCATCCTCCTGAAGAGCTCCAGCGATCTTTTCCCGTGACCAAGCGCAACCACCATCGTCGTCCACGAAACTAGATCTTTCATTGGCATTTTTTCAAAGAACTGGCTCGCTAGCCCGGCTTGGGCATACCCTTTCAGCATTATATTCCATGCAAACATGCCCTTCTCGGGCATATCCTCCCAAATGCCATGAGCCTTGAGAAGATTCCCTGACCCGACGAGCATCTCCAGAACTATTGTCCATGATACCAAATTCACATCTACCATCGATTTGAACATAGCCATGCCTTCCTCTATACATCCACTTCTTACAAAAGCGTGAAGTAAAGCATTATTTACTTTGGCATTATGTATGGGCATCTTATCATACATGGATTTGGCCATCTCTAAGTCACCATTCTGCGAATATGCGGTGACCATAGACGTACACGCGACTAAGCTTTGACTGGGCATCCGGTCAAACATAGTCTTTGCTTTGATCACGTTGCCACTCCTTGCGTAGGAAGCCAGCATGACGTTCCAACAGATTAAGTTCCATTCGGGCATATTTTCAAAGAATGTGATCTCTGCTTGTTTTTCGTTTAAGGCTGCTAGCAATGTAGTCCATGAGACAATGTCATGTTGGGGCATAGAGTGAAAAACCCTTTTGGCGGTATCTATTTCGTTCGCATGAGAATATGCGTGGAGCAATGCTGCCCATGAAACAATGTCCCTCTCAGGCATGGAATCAAACAGTTCCTGAGCCTGATAGATATGCCCGTTTCGGGCATATTCTGAAAGGAGTATATTCCAGGACCTGAGATCCCATTGAGGAATCTGTCTAAAAAGGAGAACTGCCCGTGATTCATGTGCCTCACAGTAAGCTTGCAAAAGTATATTCCAAGCGAGAACAGTGTTGTGAGGCATTGAGTCGAAGACTTGTTTAGCTCCACTTAGATGCCCAGCACGGGTATATACTTGAAGGATTGTTATCCAAGATACAAGATTCCTTTCTGGCATTGCGTCAAAGGTTTCTGATGCTGCGGGAATGTTTCCAAGCTGGAAATATGCTGCAAGCATGGAGTTCCAAGATGCTAGATTCTTTTGTGGCATTTGTTCGAAGAGAATCTTGGCTGACTCAACATCACAGTTTCGACAATAGGCCGAAATCATAGTGTTGTATGAAACAACACTCCGATCTGGAAGTCCATCGAAAAGGGATTTGACCTCACTGAACTGGTCATTTTGTGAATATGCCGATATCAACGAGTTCCAAGAAACTACACTCCAAAAGGGCATCTTATCAAAAATATCCTTTGCTCCATTTAAATCCCCACTTTCTGCATAGGCCGCCAACATCGCATTCCACGAAACCTCATTCCGATCCGGCATTACATCAAAAAGATGCTTCGATTTAAGAAAATGCCTCTCTTGGGCATATGCCGAGAGCATTGTGTTCCACGATACTATGCTCTTATGTGGAATGGAATTAAAACAAATTTCCGCCCCTCGTATATTCCCGTTCCTAGAATAAGCGGCTAAAAGTTTATTCCATGAAATGGTATCTTCTGGATTTGCAGGCACACACACGCACTCGATCTTTTCTAGATGCCCATTGTGGGCATAATTCGTAGACATTGAGAATTTGGAGCTTGCAATAAAGTCAAAACTGGCACTAAAATATAATAGTTAAAATAGATTAATACGGTATTGCGTTTGTTTTTAAAAATGTGGCCCATTTAAATCGACGGTAGAGATTGGGGACGAGGGTTTTTTCAAACGCAAAGCTCCCGGCATCTGCTCACGCATGATCGCATCGCATTGACTGATCGGTGGCGCTGCGCAGGCGCTGTCACTGGCAATCGCGAGCTCGCATTCCCTCCATCCTTTTCTCTTCGATCTTGGAGCGCCTAGGGTATTGTGGCCATAATCACAGGCTTTCTTGTTTGAATTTCACTCAATTCCTCGTCGATCCCAGGTCTCGCAATGTCGAATCGCGGCATCGACATGGTTCTTGTCAAGACGATCGACGGATCGCCGTCGCCCGATCCGGCGGCGGTGCTACTGCCCGCTCGCTATCCATCCATGCCGAGGTATCCTCCCTCGCCGCCCAGGCCCGACATCGACGCCGCGCAAATCCAGAGCGTCTCCTTCAAGGTAACGGGCATGAAATGCACTGCCTGTGCTGGATCTATCGAAAAGGCTCTCAAAAGACTCCCGGGGATCAAAGAGGCGGCGGTGGCGGTGATCCAAGAGAAGGCCCAGGTTGTCTTTCACCCAGCTTTCGTTGACGTAAGTTCTTTCTTTATTCTTTAGAAGCGAAGAACTTTTCTTTCGATCTAAAAGTCGTCGTTGTCCTGTTTTCCCACTTCCCAGGTAGAGACTATCCGCGAAGCCATTGTCGACGCTGGCTTTGACGCGGCCCTCTTGGAAGATCCTGTCGAGCAGTCGACCAACACAGTGTGTCGTCTCCGTGTCAGAGGCATGACTTGCACGTCGTGCTCGGGTTCGATCGAGGCGGCGCTCAGGAAGATCCAGGGGGTGAAAACTGCGGTGGTGGCTCTCGCCACCGAGCAGGCTGAGATCCTCCATGACCCCAGAGTGGTGAGCTGCGCGAAACTTATGGAAGCTGTGGAGGATGTTGGCTTCGAGGCCGAGTTGATCAGCGCCGGAGAGGAGAGGAACAAGGTCCACTTGCAGCTGGAAGGGGTGCATTCGCAAGAAGGCTTTCGAAACATCGTCACCTCGCTCGAGGCTTTGGCTGGGGTGACGGAGGTGGAGCTTTTCCCTACGGAGGAAAGAGTGGTGGTTTCTTACGACCCGGACTTAACAGGACCGCGATGTTTCATAGAGATCATCGAGCAGACGGGACCGGCGAATATGTACAAAGCTCGTTTGGCTATGGGAGCAGACCGTCGTCCGGATATGAAGACCGAGATCAAGCACTACTGGAACCTCTTCTTATGGAGCATAATCTTCACGGTTCCGGTGTTCTTGCTGGGGATGGTGTTCATGTACACTCCGGGCATCAAGAGACACATCGAGAAGAAGGTGATCAACATGTTGTCCATCGGACAGATACTGCGCTGGGTCTTGTCTACACCAGTCCAGTTCATCATTGGGTGGCGTTTCTACGTCGGGGCTTACAATGCGCTGCGACATGGCTCGGCCAACATGGACGTTCTCATAGCTCTCGGAACGAATGCTGCGTACTTCTACTCGGTCTACACTGTTCTACGATCTGCGACGTCCCATTCCTTCGAAGGGACGGACTTTTTCGAGACGAGTTCCATGCTCATATCGTTTATCTTGCTGGGGAAGTTCCTGGAGGTTCTGGCCAAAGGGAAAACGTCGGAGGCCATTGCGAAACTTATGAGTCTTACGCCGGATACGGCCATCCTTCTCACGGTGGACGAGGGAGGAAGCGTTGTTTCCGAGCGTGAAATAAGTACGCAGCTCATACAACGAAACGACATCGTCAAAGTCTTGCCTGGTTCCAAAGTGCCAGCGGATGGAGAGGTCACTTGGGGACAGAGTCATGTAAACGAGAGCATGATTACTGGTGAAGCTCGACCGGTTGCAAAACACGGCGGAGACAAAGTCATTGGTGGAACTATGAACGAAAACGGGGTGCTTCACGTACGGGCAACTCATGTTGGATCCGAGACGGCTCTTGCACAGATCGTTAGACTGGTGGAGGCGGCACAAATGGCCAAAGCTCCCGTTCAGAAGTTCGCTGATCGTATATCTCGATACTTCGTTCCCATGGTACGCGTATGTGTTTCGCTGTTGTGTGACTGATGGTTCTTCTTTTACTTCTTTCAGGTTGTTCTTGCATCAGCTTTAACATGGGGTCTGTGGTTTGCTGCTGGAAAAGCTAGCTGGTATCCCAAGTCTTGGATCCCATCGAGCATGGACGAATTCGAACTGGCACTTCAATTCGGCATCGCTGTGCTGGTCATTGCATGTCCTTGCGCCCTGGGGCTTGCTACGCCTACTGCTGTCATGGTTTCAACTGGAAAAGGAGCCACGCAAGGTGTTCTTATCAAAGGTGGTGCTGCTTTGGAGATGGCACGCAACGTAAGTAGTTCACGTCCGAGAGAGTTGTACTTGAGCTGTTTATTTTCAGGTTGACTGCATTGTGTTCGACAAGACGGGTACACTTACGAAGGGAGAGCCGAGTGTTGTTAACACGAAGCTATTTCAGAACATTGCTCTGAAGGTGTTCTTTACGATCGTTGCTAGTGCCGAGGTACGAGGGATGTGTTTCCGTCTCGACAAGTATTTTAACATGTTTGGTTTTGTTGTCGCAGGCCAACAGCGAGCATCCCCTAGCCAAGGCAATAGTCGAGTATGCAAAAGGTCTGAGCGCAGAAGAACCCTTTGAGCAGCAGCAAGTGGAGGATTTCAAAGCTATCCCTGGACAGGGAATTCAAGCAGTTGTGATGGGAAAAGGACTGCTGGTTGGGAACCAAAAACTCATGTCTGAGAACGGGGTCTCACTTCCTCTGGAAGCCTCAGAGCAGCTCAAGGACGTTGAAGTGCTGGCCAGGACGGCGGTGCTGGTTGCAGTCGACGGGGAACTCACGGGCATCATCTCCATAGCAGACCCGATCAAACCAGAGGCGCCGGCAGTGATCTCCATGCTCAAGCTGATGAAGATCAAGAGCATCATAGTGACTGGAGATAACCGAGGCACAGCTCTCGCGGTTGCTCGAGAGGTTGGTATCCGGACGGAGGACGTGATAGCCGAGGCCGATCCAAAAGCCAAGGCCGAGAGAGTCAAGGAGTTGCAAGTAAGTTGGCCATTTCTCTTTCCAAGCTCGAGACTAATGCTTTGGTTTTGAAACTTTAGAGCGCGGGCATGGTGATCGCAATGGTCGGAGATGGTATCAACGATTCCCCAGCTCTGGTTGCCGCGGACGTTGGAGTTGCCATTGGTGCCGGCACGGACATAGCGATCGAGGCCGCGGACATAGTTCTCATGAAGAGCCACCTCGAGGACGTGGTCACCGCCATCGATTTGTCCAGGAAGACGTTCTCGAGGATCCGACTCAACTACGTCTGGGCTCTGGGATACAACGTCCTGGGAATCCCAATCGCGGCTGGAGCGCTCTATCCTTCCGCGAGGTTCCGGCTTCCACCATGGATCGCTGGAGCTGCCATGGCGGCCTCGTCCGTGAGCGTCGTGTGCTCGTCGCTGCTACTCAAATACTACAAGAGGCCGAAGAAGCTGGAGCACATCGTCCACTAAAGAACGATCGATCGAAGGTTTGGATTTCTAGTTTCTAGCACTACCTACTTGTACAGGTGATAGCTCTTTGGCGAGTAACCGATGATCTTGCTATCCTTTGCCTTTTCTTGCGAGCTCGATCGCTTCGTCCAGCAGACCTTTCAAAGACCGGGCCATTTGTCTAGAGGAAAAGAGATGGAGTGAGAATGGCGAGAAAGAGAGAAAGAGAGAAGACTACCTGGTGGATTCGATGTTGTCGAAGATAAACTTGGCTCTATCTTGGAGAGCGCCCACTGCCCATCTCTTGATCAAGTACCTTTGCTTCTTTGCCGGGAGTGGATGCTTTGTCCTGGGCATAGAAAAGATTTATTTAGGGTTTATAGTGACTGGCTATGGCGGGGGAGAGCAATGCGGCCCTGGCCAGCGGATGCCCGTGCTCGTTTCTAGGCGCTCGGAGCCGGATTTCCTCGCAGCGGCATTGCGCGCCTGGATTTCAGGTGAGTGGCTCTGATTTTGGCGTTTCTCCTTGTGAAAATGCGATGCGTTTGTTCTGAAGATTTCGAGTGCTTTGCATTGCATTTGTCTCACTTGTTCTTCTGTTTTCTCGATCCAGATCATCGGAAAAGGAAGAAAAATCTCCAGACTCTACTCCGTTAGAATGTGCCAGCAAAGTTCTCCCGGATCAAAGGATGTTTTCCACTCGGTCCCAGAGTACGTGTTCCCGCAGAACCTCGATCTACCGCCGGTTCTCCCGACCAACAAGAAGAGACCATACGTGAGGCCGATCAAGCTCGTCCTCCGGGAGAGTCGACGAAGGAAGAAGCTGGGGCTGATACCACACTTTTGGGACGCTCCACGCAACGGGATGCTCGTGGAGCGCCTCATTCCCGTGGCGTACGAGGTGATGAAGCAGCTGGGAATCCTGGAAGAAGGGGTGAAGAAACTCATGGAAGTTGTTCCAGTGCAAGCTTGCAGGTAACTCTCTCGTCTCTCGTCTCTGCTTGTATTCATTTCTAAAGTCTTGACAGTGTGATCTTCACACAGTTGCTGCAAAGACATCCATGTTGGAGCGTCCGGCCACCTGATAAGAACTTGCAAAGGCTCCGGCTGTGCTTCACGGCGAGGCGCTCACGCGTGGATAAAAGCCTATCCCCCGGACGTGCTCGTTCCAACAGAGTGCTACCACATCCTGGATAGGCTGGCTTCTCCGATCATCCACGAACAAAGGTTCTCGGTTCCCAGGCTGTGTGCCATCACCGAGCTCTGCATCCAAGCTGGCTACGAGCATCCGGACTATCCGGTGGTGAGATGGGCCAGGATATCCGGCAGGCAGGTCGGCAGCGGCCGAGCTCAAGTTGCCGAGTCCCGGCTGCTCAAGCCGTATACGGGATTTCCTGGCGATTCCGGGCACACTGCGGGCAGGAAAGACTCGACCAAGGAAGGGAGATTTGTCCGCAAGATGCTAAGGCCAGGGACTGACAACACCATCTTTGGGGAGCCGAACGAAGCCGAGGATGGGGACGAAGAGCTGGAAACCACTAACAGGGAAGAAGACGAAGAAGAAGAAGAAGACCAAGTTGGCGGAATCGAAGAAGAGGCCCAAGGTAGTGAAGAGAGCTTCCTGGAGGGAAGAGTTTTTGATCCGGCAAGAGACGAGATAGTGGCGACGGCCGAGAGAACTATCGAGGCGTTCCACACGGTGAGGAAGGGCATCCAGCTGATGATGAAGAAGTACGTTGTCAAGGCGTGCGGTTACTGCCCCGAGATCCACGTCGGGCCTCGCGGCCACCGGGTGAAGATTTGCGGAGCTTTCAAGCACCAGCAGCGGGATGGCAAGCACGGGTGGCAAGAGGCCGCGCTGAGCGATATCTTTCCTCCGAATTTCGTGTGGCACGTCCCGAGCGGCCATAGCCCGGCTCTGCGGCCGGAGCTGCGGCGGTACTATGGACAGGCACCCGCAGTGGTGGAGCTGTGTGTGCAAGCAGGTGCTCGGGTGCCCGTGAAGTGGAAGCCTTTTATGAGGAGCGATGTTGTCATACCGGATGTAGAAGAGAAGAGTGTTGTATGCTGACGAAAATAGCGTCTCAAAATTTCCAAAAAGTTTGTAAAAGCATTCTAGCTGTGAATAATTTGTTCGTGAACAATAGTATACAGCATATTACGTTATAGTAGAGACTTTTTAACTACTTCAACAATGAGCAAGGTTTTAAGGTGGTTTATCGACTCGTCACAATTCTCAAGCTGCCTCGGTTCTTGCAGGTTTTTGCTTTTGTTTTTGTGTATGGCAGCAAGCCAGCGCGCTGTGAGATACTCTAGATACTCTCATGACACCATCTCTAGCAGCCACCAACATTGGCACTCCCAGATCCTGAGTTGGAAGAAGTGGCGAGAATGGAGTGTCCACCACCTTGGTGTGTCAAGAGAGCTGCGAAGTTTCCATCTCTAGCAGCACCAACATTGGCACTCCGGATCCCGAGTTGGAAGAAGTGGTGAGAATGGAGTCGCCACCACCTTGGTGTGTCATGAGATCCATCTCTAGCAGCACCAACCTTGGCACTCCCGTTGGCGAGAATGGAGTCTCTGCCACCTTGGCGTGTCAAGGATCCGCCACCTGGGGACTCCCGTCCTCAACTAGCTCGGACTCGCCGGATTGCACAGGAAAAAGATCCATCTCTAGGTCAACCGGTGGCTCTCCCTGATCCAGCAGGAGTGGTAAAAGTCGATCACGCAGTGATTCGGTCGACTCTCAAGGGTGGTGTTCAAGCAGCAGCTCTTCTCGATCAGGATATGATTTTATCGACTCTTAAGGATGCAGCTCTTCCCGAGATAGTGGAAGAAGTGGCGAGAATGGGACTCCCCTCCTCAACCAGCGCGCAGGAGAAGCTCTGGTCGACACCACCAGCGAGGGACGCGTCGGTCTCGAGTTTGGAAGCAGCTCCGGTCGACATCGCCAGCGAGGGACGCGTCGGTCTCGCGTTTTCCATATCCTCTCGAAGAAGGCCGCGGTGTTACTGAGCAGGAAGTGGATCGATCCTTGTGGGAGAACCGGCGGAGCTTGCTTTGCCTGTATCCCTTGGGCATCACCCCCGGCGCTAGCATTTGCAGCGAGAGCAGCTCGCGCTTGAGGTCTTGGAGCAGCGGCAGTGGCATCAGGACTAGTGCTGCCTCCGGTCGTTGCGCTGCCCGCCTTCGTCTTCATCCTGTGTTGCATCTCCGTGCTCGTCGGCATGAGGAAGTCGGACTTAACGCCTTGGCGGAAGCGTGAGAGGAATCGTGTGAACTCGTCGGCTCTAAATTACTCAGTTTATTCTTCTTTTGATTGATCCCGATATGCATTTTAGCCCTCAGTTAAAATGCCCTAAACTCTAGGGCTTTTGGGGCGGAAAAATGGAGCACAAGAGCAGTGCTAGATTCCATCGCCATGCTGCCGCGGACAATCCCACGCTCGTAAGATACGTTCCTTTCCTCGTTGTGGCGCTCGTCGTGGCGCATCTTCTCGCATTTGTAAGCTCTTTGGCTATCTTTTCTTTCTTTTGTTTATCCGTCCAAGCAGGCATTTTGGATCTACAAGGTCATGACAGAGAAACCCAGACAACGAAGAAAGACGCACTGATCGATCAAAGGTTTAAATTCCTTGCGGCAGGACGCAAGGATTTTTGTGCTTGCGACAATTCACGTTTTTGTACACTTGACTTGTTCTTGTTTGTTCCTTCGAAAATCGCAATCCTGGCATGCTTCAACGTAAAATTCTTGACTTGAACTCCGAGTATGTGATGTCATCTGATTTGGACAAAACGGAAGTCCTTTGCCTGCCAAATCGTTTTCATATCCTCAAAAGACTTGGAACTTGACTGCAAGAGCTCTAAAAGCGATAAGCTTTGGGAGTACGCAATACCGAACTCTACATTCTCATGGAATCCTTTGGAAATAGAAGCTCTAGAACTAGTGCAATGGAAGATCAGATTAGTAGAGTTTTCCTCCGGCGAGGCTCCGCGTTTGATGCATGGCTCACAGCCACTACTGTGCAAGTAAATGCTTCTCTACAGCACATTTTAGTTTGTAGATTTGGAATTTTCTTCACTCTTGTAGGTAGCGCAAGTTCTTCTTACACTCCCACACTCTTTTGCTCAAATGGGGCTGGCATCAGGAGTGGTATTTCAGCTTTTATATGGTGCTCTTGGATGTTGGAGCTGCTATATGACTACATCCCTGTATGCTGATTATATTTGGATATTAGACTCGCAAAAATTGCGAAAAGAAAATCATATTATTCAGGTCTGAAAAGGAATGAATTTCTCATAAGATCTTCTATGAACAAATGCTTTGGTGGCAGTGGTATGAAGTTTTGGAAGCCCTTTTGGGTCGATGGTGGAAAGCACTTGGTTTGCTATTCAACTGCATGCTGATGTTGAGTGCTGCAACAATTCAGTTGGTAGCTTGTGGGAAGTGAGTATTTTAATAAGGATCTTGTATAATTCTTAAAATTGGACTACAGCACTGTATGGTACATAAATGACAACCTTGATAAAAGGACTTGGACATATATTTTTGGAGCTATATGTTTCTCTACATTATTCATTCGAATGGCTCGCAATTATCACCTTTGGATGTTCTTAGGTGTTTTTATGACAAGTTACACTGCTTGGTACATGACAATTGCTGCACTATTTTTTGAGAAGGTAGGAGATTCTGAAAATTAAACTCTGGAATATATAATGTTTGCTTTGCAGCATCAGAATGCTGTACATACAGGCCCAACAAGCTCAGTTGAGTACTTCACAGGAACTACAAATATTATATACACATTTGGCAGTCATGCTCTAACCCTGTAAGCATCAATAAAATCATATTTCCAAAGCATTTGTACTTAGGCCTTATACTTTCACTGAAGGGAGATAATAGAAGCTATGGATCAGCCAAGAAAATTCAAGTTTGTTTATGTTTATGCCATTCTCTATATTCTCACACTTACATTACCATCAGCAATAAGTGTATATTGGAGGTTTGGAGATAAAATGCTTGAACATCCAAATGCTCTTGCCGTTTTTTCTCCATCTAAATTTAAGACTATAGCAGTAATTCTCATGCTAGCTCATCAGGTCAAAATGTTTATTCATAAGTTTACATTGTAATTCACAAACTTTTATTGTGCAGATAATTGAGTTTGCAGCATTTATAGTTCCCGTTTTTGCAATGTGGGAAAAGATGCTAGGCATTCATCACTCCAATAACCAAACTATAAAATATCTTGCAAGGATACCAATTGTGCTTATAATATGTTTATTTGCACTTATGCTACCATTTTTTGGATCGATAAACTCAGTTGTGGGATCTTTCCTCTCCAGTATAGCAGTTTATATTCTTCCTTGTGTTGCATTTATGGTTATTAGACGACATGAAGAATCAAGAGAGGTAATTAAAACAATTTTTATAAGCAAATAAGTTAACTACTAAATAAATTTCAGAATGCTATAGAACAACCTCCAGTTTGGATTTTTAATAGTTGGGTGGGAGTTTACTGCATTAATCTTGGGATTGTCCTATGGGTGGCAATTGTAGGTATGGGTTTTGGTGCATGGGCAAGCATGTATAGTTTATTTCACAAAGTTGAGCGCTTTGGATTGTTTTCTAAATGCTTTGAATGTAATAAACTTTAAAATATTAACTTTAAAATTATAATTTTTTGGAATTTTTTGCTAAATAAACAAGGGTTAGTGATAATCATCAGATATCGAAAGTCTTACTATTCTATGAAAAAAAAACCTTCTAGAAAGTGGTAGATTAAAACACTTATCACCTGACACAAAGAAGGCATAAAGATGTTTCTAAAGCCACTTATGATTAAATTCATTTAGATTATATGATATTTTAAAAATAAAAGAACATGAATTAATAAGATAAAAAAAAATTGGTTTCTATTTAAATGTTAAATTCTAAACATTTATTCTGATTTGGACCATTGCTCGTGCATGGTAAGAAAAAAAATCCATTCTCTTGTTCGCCAGTTCCATGTGCTTGATCACGAATTTTTATGATGTCTCTAGTAGAAAAATCGTAATTTTCACTTGGAGGACTTTTACCGTTGTGACGAATCGTAAAAGCTCTGTTCCAATCCAAGCCATGAGAAAAGTCCGTGAGAAAAGAAACGATGCTTACCTCCAAGCTCCAAAATCAACACACTCCATCCTTGAAAACATGGAATCGACTTGCGTCTCGGCAAACCACGACTCGGTGCTCGATCTGCAAATCCATCAAATATGTTGCCAGTTTGTGCCCAGGGTCAAGCCGAAGAATCAATCTTGTTGTTTTTGGGTCAGCATTGTTAGAACTCCATCATCATCGTCACCATGAAAATGACAGGCTCGTCCTCGAGATCCACGCTTGAAGAGATGGACCAGGAAGTCCCTGGCACGTGGTCCATGCAGTCACGTCACACGCTCACACTTGCAATCTAATATCGCGTGGAAGCATCATCGATCGTCGAAGGAATGAGAGATGAGAGTGATGCCTAATCTTAACTTGCAAAAATATAGTTGTTTTGTGCTTATGAAATTCTTCCAATGCTTCAGCTTGAATCTGCTTTGGCATTTGCTTCTTGTAGTCCAAATCAGAGGCTACAAGAGGCAAATTAAGCACCACTTGGGTTTACTTGGATTAACACGTTCCCAATGAATTAAAGTTAGTAGAAATTTTGCTAGACTCTATTGATGAACTAAATCATTCACCATTTTGGTCACTATTGATCTGCGTTTATTAGGATACCAATCAAGGATAAACTATCTTACTCAACTAGATCCAAAACAACAGTTGCTGGAAAAGAAAAACCATTGCCAAATGAACTCTCTAAGACTTAAATAATTATATGCTATAATTCATAAATTTCTATCAATTTTTTCTTTTCATTTGTTTTGTAGAAATTGCCCAGAAAATACAGGTTTTTTTTTTTAAGACTTCTACCTTTCGCACTCAATCACCAACTCCCTTGCACAGTTGAGTAGTGCCATAGTCTGCTCCTCAAGCAAGTAAGCTAACAATGGATTCAGCTTGGCTCCCCTGTCCATGATGATATGCCCCTCCATATGAACATCCTCAGCCTTCGGACTAAGCTGGAACAATCCAAAAGTAAGCCAAAAAAGCACACCAATAACTTACATCCTCACTCCACCCTATAATCAATCTGTGCCTCCTAGTATACTCTTAGAATTGGTAGAGGGCTGAAGGCATTTTGCATTACATTGCTGAAATCGTTGAAAGATCATCTTACAGTCCATTACTCTTCCTCCTTGGGAGAAGAGTATCCACATATCAGCTGCCACCGTTCTCGATGCCTTGCTGAATAGTACTCTATCCTACAGAGAACAAAGTTCCTTTCAAAGTTAGATATGAAACAAAATGACCAAAGCAAGGCAGTATGAAGAAGACATTTATTTATAATACATTATTACTTATGGCTAGATTTGATGTAATTTGATCATGAGCCTTGGGAACCACTAGTGACGCAAGTTCCAGCGATCGTCCACACAGGTTCAAACGTAAGATATTTTCTTGATTGTTCCTTTTTTTTCCTTTTTTTTTTTTTTTTTGCTAAGCTCGTTCTTGTGCTATCCAGGGCGAAGCATTTTGCACATATGTCTCTGCTTACTTGGATCTGTCAAATTTTGCTTACAAAAAATCTGTCGACTATTCTGGTTCACATCAATAAGTAACAGGATCTTTGCATTAGGTTATAAAGAAGAAATGCTTAGTGTGAAGAAATCTTTTGACACCAAGAAATGTAGATTATCTTCTCAATTCAGGCAAGAAAATGTCGAATTACTCTCAGTGAAGAAGTGTCTTTGATTCCAAACATCTTGGAAGAGTATGTTCCCTCTCTACTTTGTTGGAGAGGGTTTCTTCTTGGTCACTGTTGGGTCCTGGCCAACTTCCAAGCGTCAACGCAAAGTCCCTGTCCCCCGGTCGCCGACAGCAGCGACCGCCAGTCCACAATGTCGGGGACGTACGGCATGGCCGAGACCAAGCTCCGCGCGTCGTCCGCGTGGCCGCCCCGCCCCAGCAAGCTCACCACGCACTGGAAATGCTGCTTGCTGGGGGCCATCCCAAAATCCAACCCCATGGATCGAAAGTAGTGGCAGCCCTCGCGCAATCTCCCGGCGTGGCTGGATCCCAGCAGCAAGCAATCGAAGGAGATCTCGTCCGCCCCGATCCCCTCGGCTTGCATCCTCTGGAAGATCTCCACCGCCTCGCGGGCGGCGCCGCGCTGGGCTTGCGCCGCCAGCGCCACGCCCCACGAGACGCGATTCCTCTCCGGCATGGCGTCGAAGATCGCGGACGCGCGGTCGGGGAAGCCGGCGTGGGCATAGGCGGCGGCCATCGCTGTCCAGGAGACGAGATCTCTCTCCGGCATCGCCCACGAGAAGATCTTCGCGGCGTGATCGAGATCACCCGCCTGGGCGTACGCTGCGAGGAGCGCGTTCCACGAGACGACGTCGTGCTGCGGCATGGAATCGAAGATCCAGCGCGCCTCGTCGATGCGGCCCGAGCGCGCGTAGGCGCTGAGCATCGAGTTCCAGGACGAGATGTCGCGGTGGAGCATCGATTGGAAGACGCGCTCGCCGTGATCGAGCGCGCTTGCTGCCATGATCGCGTTGGAGAGGCGGAGATCGAGGTCGCTCACGCGCTTGGAAACGATCCTGGCGTGATCAAGCTCGCCTCTGTGCGCTAGCGCCACGACCAGCGCTGTCCAGGAGACTAGATCCCACTCGGGCATTCGCGAGAGAAGGAGCTCCACACTCTCTACATCTCCTTCCTGGGCATTTGCCGCAAGCATGGTGTTCCAAGCCACGCGATTCCTCTCTGGCATCTCTTCAAAGATCTCTTTAGCTTGGTTGATCCTCCCCAGCTGTGAGTAGCATGCCAACATCGCCGTCCAGGAAACGATGCTTCGATCTGGCATACTGTCAAATATTTTCTGAGCTTGTAGCAAATGCCCGTTCTGAGCAAATGCTACAATCATCGCTGTCAGCGCGACTAGATCCCTGTAGAGCATCGATCGAAAGATAGAAATCGCTTCTTCGAGGAATCCCTTCTGAGAGAAGATGACAATCATCGCGGTCGACGCTACCATGTTCCACTCCGGCATGGAATCAAACGCGCGCTTGGCGCTGTCTAGATGCCCGTTATCGGCAAATCCCACCAGAAGCGTCGTCCACGCCACCAGATCGTGCAGCGGCATCTCCAGGAACAGCGCCATCGCGCCCTCCAAATCCACGGCGTCAACGCACGCAACCAGCATAGCGCTCCAGGAAACGAGGCTCGGATCCGGCATCGCGCGGAAGATCGCAGCGGCGAGGCGCGTCTCGCCGATCTGCGCGTAGGCGGACAGCATCGCCGTCCAGGAGATCGTGTTCCTGGCCGGCATCGCGTCGAAGATCCTCTGCGCGTCGCCGATCCGGCCGATCCGTGCGTATGAGGCGAGCATCGCGTTCCAGGAGGCCAGGTTCTTGTCGGGGATGCGATCGAAGAGGGCGATGGCGTCGTCGATCTGGTCGTTGCGGGCGTAGGCGGTGAGCAAGAGATTGTAGGAGAAGACGTTCTTCACGTCCAGGGCGTCGAAGACGCGGCGGGAGTGGGCGGTGCTGCCACACCGGCCATACATCTGGATGAGGAGATTGGAGAGGAAGAGGCCCGAATCGATCATGCGCGGGCTGCGCGCCACTCGCGCGTGGATGATCTTGGCATCCGGAAGTGTCGTGCACGAGGATATGAGATCTACGCATTCCCCCCGGCTCAACTCTTTCATGCAGGGTTTAGGGTTTCAAAATTTAGGTTATGACCGTTGGAATTGGACGGCCAGGACTGGTTTCCTACCATCGACGGCGGTAGATCAGCATTAAAAATGTGAGCCATAACATCAATAGAATCTTTTTTAGAAAATGGGCTTTGTCATCACAAAGACGGTGTTTGATTGAATTCCGGGAATCTAGTGAGCTTCTCGGCGATGCTGGCAGCGTATGCCCAAAACGGGCATCTGGATGAAGCAAAGGCGATGTTTGATCATGGCTTTGATCGAAATTTGATCTTCTGTAATATCATATTCCATGGATACACCTCAAACTTGAAGCTCCGAGAGGAAAAATATATCTATGTCAAAATGCCTGAGAGGGATGTAGTGGCATTGGACGTCTATACTTGCAGCAAATACCCAAGAAAGGCATATTGATGAGGTTAAAGCTGTGTTTGCAGCCATACCCGTGTCATTGATCTTTTACTGCTCAGTGGAGTGCGGTTGCGTGATTCCTGTGTTTTGAAGGTATTTAGAGAGAAGAGTGGTTGGTTCTAGACAAGAGAAGGAGAAACATCCCGAGCTAGAATCGCCACAGGCAGCATTGTGGAGCTCGCGAGTTGTGACAGTCTTCTCTCCTTTGTCTTTTTTTCCCTTTGCGAACAAATTATTTCTCCTTTACTCGTTTCCGTGAAACATTGCTTTGCTCAGGGGAGGACCATCTTGCTGAAAATCCATCACTGTGGAAGCTGCGATTGTGTTGGTATGTTTGTACGAGTAATTTTCCATTTGAAGGGCATGTTTTTTAAGGTTCTTTGTCTCAAGGCTTGGACGCAGTATGTGCCAAACTCAGGGTTGTGCGCACCGGTGGTGGTCTCGGGTTTTGTATTGTCACGAAACCATCTGGCGAAAGTAAGTCTTTCTTGATTGCTGTCAGGTTTTACTGTTTCGGTCTTGTTTGCTCTTCTACTCTTAAAGCTGCTGATGACTTGCTTCTCTGAAAGAAGACTCATCTTTTTTGCAAGTTATGTGAGGTTCACGAGACATTACTAACAAGAGACTGATATCTGTAAGTTGCGGCATTGCTTCCAGTTTCTGACAATTGCCATCGTCTTTTACAGGTGATGGAACTACTGAATTCTCTATATCAGAAATGGTAGGATACGTTTCTCTACTTCATTCATTTACTACCATTCGGTTCTGCTCAGATCCTTGGGCTATCGGTCGCTCGCCTCAACATGATTACCATCTCGTTTCTGGTGTATACGTCTCGATACTAATAGTTGTGAGCAAGACAGGCAGGAACTGATGCAAATCAAAGCGAGCACGAAAGGATGAAATTCACTACCGTGACTCCCACATTCACCGTTCTGCATCAAAATCAGAGCCTCGGCAGCTTGGTTGAGTTCGAGAAATCCAGCAAGCACAAGCAAACAGCTACATGGAACCACACGAAGCAAACAAGGTGCAACCGTTGCCTTATGACCCTGCTGCAGTGCCTAACAACGGCGTTCTAAGGATGAGAATCGACGCGGTGGCTCCGACTTGATCCAAGACAGAAATAGCAACAGGCCAGAGCAATCTCTGTCGCAACGAGCTGCGTAAGTTTCCATTTGGTTTGTTCTTACATTAGTTTCATCAGGGAAACGGGTGAACTCCTCCATCGGTGGAGATGTGCTTTCAAGGGGGTTCGTATAAAGGACGTTGTGGAGGAGGACAACCGGAAATGAATGAAGTAACGATCGTAAATCCCTTCGTCTCTTTTCGTCGCGTGATTCTACGTTTCCAAGGTCGATGGACGATCTTCTAGGACGGAAATTGGTCCAAGGCAAGACCAATACGTTTTACTATACAAATGGCGACGTCTACCAAGGTCTCATCCATGGAAAGGCAAAGAAGAGCGAGACTTAGAAAAATGCGAGGCGCAGCGATTTTTGAGGTTCTTTTCTATTGATCACCCTTGGTGACGTGTTTGCCGAAAGATTAGCAGTAGAAGACGCGGGATGCCGGTAGAAAGAATGATCCTCAGATTCGCGAGCTGTCAAATCAAGTTAAAAAATCGAGCTTGAGATCCAAGCAAATCTCTTTACATATATTCCTTCTATAATATTCCTCGTCTCTCACGATCTTCTAAATCGATACTTTACAGCGGCGATGGAAGCTCTAGCATTGGCGTTCTCCTGGTTGCGACGCGCTCCAGCGCAGGCAAGCACACAGGCAAGCACACAGGCAACAGGATTGAAGGTCCTCCTCCTTGAGGTGTGTACAGCTCGCTTGTTTCTGTCATTTTTTCTTGTTCCTTGACATTTTTCGCGTGCGGGCAGACTCCTGCCGCAACAGCGGACAAGAAAGTGGAGGATTTCCCAGCGCAGCTCGAGGCAGTGATCGCCAGCAGTGACCCAGCATCAAGTGTTCCCGAGTATGATGCACCTGTACTCGAAGAGGATGACGAGCATGACTTGCAAGAGGTAACTCCAGATGTAGCTAATCTTCTCTTGCAGTCGGTTGCTCCAATCGAGCTGGAGGATTCGTCCTCGCCAGCACCACCCTCGCACCTCGAGGCAGTTATAACCGGAGCAGCATCAAGTGTTCCCGAGTATGATCCACCACCGTTACCTGTACTCGAGGATGAAAACCATGATTCGCAAGAGGTAACTTAAGAGCTTAGATGGTTTGTCTGGAACCGCACCAACCTTCTCTTGCAGCTAGAGGCGGTCATGGTTGGCGCTGTGGATTCAGTTCGGTATACTTCTCTTGGTGGCAAGACGCTTGCAATTGACGACGACGACGACAACCTGAGCTGGGAGGATATCGAGAGCTATTTTCGGACCTGGACATTCCCGTCGGTGCAGCTACCGTCCAGAGCCGACATGCATCTGGAGGTGGAGGAACTTAAGGAGCTAGTTGGAGAGTGGACTTGGAAGCTACCGACCACTCTTCAGTCGATAAAAGAAGAAATGTGGAGTAGGCTTTTGAACGCGGGCTTGGAGGAGGACGAGGTGACGTCCCAGGAATTATGGGAAGAACTCAAGAACTTCTTGGGGTGGTATCGATTCCCAGTTATCAGTTCCCGACGGATGCTTCTGGAAGCAGCGCCAGGTCCTCCTATCTTCGTCTCCAGCGAGAATGGACCTTCGGTGGATGGCTTCATAGCTCCACTGCGCGCACAACAAGATGGAGAAGAACAAGCTTCAGTCTTTTGGCAGAGGTTGAGAGGCGATGGCACTAGCAGCGTGAGAAAGCACAGGAGGCCTCCAGACAAGAATAGTGAAGGACAAGAACTTGTGGCAGCAATGGCCGAGGAGTCATCCTACAAGGTATGTCTCTGTTGACAGGAATCAGATATGTATTCATACTAAAATCTACGCTGAACAGGTGCTAAAGTCTCATGCAGCAGCAGGATCTCGAAAGTTGTTGAGGCAAGCTGATGTTTCATCGACACCAGCTTCAGTCTTTTGGCGGAGCTTGCGAGGTGATGGTGTGGGAACGCACAGGAGGCTTCCATACAAGAATAGTGAAGAACTTGCAGCAGCAATGGCCGACGAGTCATCCTACAAGGTATGCCTCTGCTGACAGGAACCAGATATATTCGTACTAAAATGGACATTGAACAGGTGCTAAAGTCCCATGCAGCCACGGGATTTCCATCTCAGAAGTTACTGGCTGGCGGCACTGGTGACACTAAGGAGGCTAGCAGCAATGCTTCACCACCACCAGCATCTCCACCACCTTTTATGTGGCGGTGGTTCCCTCGAAGCTTGAGCGAGGATGGTGGGAAGGCCAAGAGGATCAACACCGAAACGTTTCAAGAAGCTGAAGGGACTTCAATATCGAGCTCTCAGAGTTCAGTGAATGACGTCGGGGTGAGCAGCAGCAGTGCCAGTGCCAGTGATTTCATCGAGTTATTTGAAGGAGAAGGCATTAGCAGCAGTGATGCCTTCCTGAACTCGCTGTTGGAAGGTGAAGGTGGCGGCAGCAGCAGCAATGCGTATCTTCAGCTGGCTTCCTCCAATGATCTCAACTTGCAAGCGACGGCTGTGGCGGCAACCCCGCTGCTTCTTCCAATCCTTGCCGGGCTGCTGGTTGCGCTGCTCGTCCTCTTCTTCCTCTACTTCCTCTCGGTGATCAGGAGGAGGTGGGGGAGGAGGAAGATAGGGCTCCTGCCTCACTGAGTTCCAGCTTTCGATGCAAATGCATCGGACAGGATCAAGTTGTCGCAGGCATGGCTAGGTACTTGGATCTAAACTTGAAGCCGGTGGCTTAACACTCCGTGATGATCCCCATCGGGAGTGACAGAACTTCGGTGGCAGATTTTCATCGGCTGGAGAGAAGGTGGCTCTAACGTCATCAAGGCAAGAAGTGAGCGGAGATATCTTACAAAACAGAGGTTGCTGGTGGTTCCGGAGCGTTGTCTAACTTTCTACACCGATTGATGGTGTAAGTCCAAGCTAGGAAGGAAGATCATATACTGAGTGTTTGTAGCATTTAAACTTTGCTGATTCAGAAAAACAGTTTTTTGTTTTCTTCAAGGCTTGGTGGGAAACAAAAAGAGTTGCCAAGACTAGAAGTGACTATCACCGGCTTGTGTTCATGAGATGAGTTATTACCCTGTGTGAGAAGCAAATCGATGGAAGGAAGCAATAGTTACAATTCCAGTAGCTTTATGTTGCAGCTAATGCCAAAGGCCTAGAAAGGATGCGTGCGAAGCCCTCGTGCGTTCCAATCTTCGCACTGGTTATGGCGTGGGAGTCACGAACGAAAGGAAGAACATTAAGTGAAGGAAACTGTTTTGTCAGCTTTTCTTGACGCTAGATGGAGCTGCGCCATGAACATCGCCTTAAGAGTGAATGCGCAAACAATGGCCTCCATCAAGCCCCCACACAAAGGTTTTGCCACCGTTTGTAGTGGCAGCCAAGAGCGTTCCATCCTCACTATATCAAAACAAAGCTGTGTGATCAACATAAGTTCTAGAAAAACTACGCAATGGATCCAGAGAGCCACTTAGTACCTGAAGTCTA